ACATGAATTACATTTATTTTGTAGTTTTTTGTTTTTTTTTTTACTTTTTTTGTTATATTGTTATACCATTTTTTAAATTATAATACAAAATTAAGTTGGTATTGATCAATGAACTCAAACTAAGAGAATGGACTAAAGAGGTTACGTGTAAACTAAATCTTACTCTACAGTATTCACAATTGAGATATAGGAGACGAATGACGTCACCAGCTTCTCTGTAATGTAAGCATTCGTGTGACAAACTTAGGATTAAAAGGAAAGCCTTGGCTGACTGGCCGTACAGTTGAAACGAAAACACAATCGTGTTATAAACTAACAACTAAAGATCACTCGCGTGTAAAAATGAACAGTCGTGTGTGTACATAAAACTTAAAATTATACGAGATCTCTGAAAGTCTGGAAACGCAATACGTACAATTACATAACATAAGAAGGCGCTATGAGTGCATGCGAACGGGCGTCCTCCAACGTGCTAAGGGCGCGGCCGGCGAGTACCACGCATCGCCGCACTAAACTAAATACTTGCAATTTTCAACTTTAATACTATAGTCTTAAGGTTCAATGAAATAAAAAAAAATACATCATATTAATATTCAACTCCTTGTATACTTTACCTCTGACATCTATGAATATATAACAAACGTTGGCTGTTGTGCAATATACGAACATCGTTACTTCATCTTACTATTTAATACAGAAATTAAAGTATAAGGAATTTAGCCACTCAAATACTTTACAAAAGCAAATATCACGTTTATTACGGCGTTCGCTGTACTCTATGTTGTTACGTATTCTAAGACAAATTGCGTCGTTTCATACTATTTTATAAAAAAGTTTATCACATTGAAATATAAAGATAAACTGTAGGTAATCCTATTATATCACAGAATTTAATCAAAACGGTCTTGTTGGTGCAAAAGCGTACCTCGTGTGGCGTTTTAATCTGTCGTAACTACGGAGACAACCGGCCTCGCCCTATTATATCGATATCGAACACTTTCTACTAACATCTCTATTTACAAACATCAATTTAGAAAATCGAGGACGTGTGGAGTGAATTAATAAGCGATATGCCGCAAGCTAAATAAACGTATGCAATATCTAACTTGTCTCTATATGTACAGGCCACGGGGCCGAATGAACTGTTTAATCGACTATATAGATGAGAACAGAGCGGTATTATGTGATCATACTAAAATAAACTTAATTATGTTCAGCATAAAAGTCCTTAATAGTACGAACTAAGAAACAAAGTTGCGACTTTCTTCCAATTGATTACTCGGACGGTATTATTCAACAAATCAAAGTGAACAATTTCTTTTTTCCTCACATTCTTGGTAGGAAGTACATAATACCGTTCTGTTCGCACTTACAATGTTTTGTGTAGCAAAATCCAATAATTACGCCTAGCGGATCACAGTAACAGTTATCTGAGATAAGGCAAGGTGGGGTCTGTCGCGGACCGACGCACGTTTCCTAACATAAACCTTATTACAATAACACAAAGTTCAAATGAGACTTCTACTACAATTTAAACGTATGTACTGTTTATAAACAAACTTACATCACAGTAATTAGCGATATTGAGCTATTGTTAATATCATATTGTGATATAAAACTTTTTCGTTATTTACTAAATAACTATGAGTCAAAAGAAAAGAGGGTTATTAACAATCATTTGTCTATGGATGCGCTGTCGCGTCGGTCACGCCTCCTTTGTACCATCGTAACCCTCCCACTTACACCGTTGCATTATCGTACTATGACATATATTCCGTGATGTTAATATAACGATTACCAATCGCGTTTAAAATACAAACTTAAAAACTATGAAAGCAACTAAACTAAACTTTGGAACTAAACTGTTATTTTTTTTTTAAACAATTCAGCTTTGTCTATGGTTCAAGTTCGATGACGCAACGGCAAAAGCAGAAGTTCAACCTACTTTGTGTGGATCACCTACAACGGTTTACATTCCGTACCGTACTAGGGCCTAACAATAATACTATGCTTTATTTATTTACAATTTTTTTAACTTTTTTATCATTTATATAGTTTTGAACTAGTTTTAAGGCTACGACGTCTCTTAACACTCACACATAGTCTTCCTATTCTATATATAAACGTAATTAGCGTGATGATACATTTTTATAATAACTACCCTATAAACACAAATTGAAAACATCAATTTTGGAACATAATTATATATAAATATATATAGCAATATAAATTTTGTCTTCTATAATTATTAATCGCCAATAGAAAGTTCTCACGCACACTTACACACCCCAAGTTCACTTACACGAAACAACTAAACTATTAAATGCTCGAAACACGGCATGTTATTATTTACTCCATTACATTTAATACGCTTCCCTATACATTGTCTCACTACTGCGATGATAGTATGTGAAAATTACTCATACATATATAATATACTATATAATCAATATTGGTTTAATTATTCCTTTATAATAATTGCCGAGTAAATTAGTAAATCATTAATACTAAAAACTATCTAACCTAGCTACGTAAAAATGTTCAGTCGATGTTACATACAATGGTGTTTAGAGTAGGTAAGCTTATTAATAAGTATGTTACACAAATGTTTAGGCTGCTTGCAGACTATCGTCGAGATTCGTGTGTTGGCCACACAACACTAAGGGCGGGCTCACATGCAGTGAAGCGAAGAATAAAACATTTTTTACTGTTAAAGCATAATCGTATCTGTAAATAACTAATAAAACAAAAAAATTAGTCGCATGAAATATTGTTGGCCCTTTAGTGTTACGTAAGCTCATAATATTTATCATTAATAATTTAGTACGATTACACTTTATAATAATATCGAATGACGATGATGCTGTCAAGACAAAACTATGAAAAATAATCGCTGGCAAGTTTAACGCCTTCTTTTCCACATGTAAACCCGCCATAATCCGGTATTAAGTACTGAACGAGGTTCTGCACGCGGCCTTACGACTACACAAGAACACAAACAGTAAAAATTCGTCATGTAATTAAAATAATAATTATAATAAAACATCGCGATACCGTTCAATATACGCTCTAATTATATTGCAATTCTTATTGCTTGCAACTTTCATACAAACACAATCAGGCACACATTGAAGACTACGTTTTATTATTACATGGAATTGCAAAGATAAATGAACATAATTCTAATTGCCTACGCGTATTTTTTACATACAATTATGCCGATACCGTTTACTTTCTGTTCCAGTATTAAATTTGTTTTTTTTTTTAATAATGGGACAGATAAAGTGAGCAACCGGGTATTGGCACGCGTTATCTTTCTCGGGCATCATATAAGACGCTCTATGCGTCTCTTCTTTTGTCGTTAAGTTGGAATATCATGGTTTCATTCGTTTTGACTGTCAAGAGATGGCGTCAGTGATCTAATTTGCCGATATTATTTGAAAACAAAAAACATTTGCAACATTCTGAAAAGTGCGCTAAATCACACACGATATACATAGATAATACTATGTTATAAGCGCAAAATATATCGCTAAAACATAATATGGACTTTTCATTGTTTTTTCCAAGATTAGCGCCATCTATTGACAGAAAAAAAAACAAATGCTAACATACCACATCAATGACTGTCTTCGTTGTACAATCGCGCGAATTACGCCCCGCACACATAAGAGGACACATCAATAGTGTCTCTCTTCACGTCCCAATGAACTAACTATTAGTCTACTAAACTGATAATACAGTCGCTTGTCACTACACTAAAAGTAAATCAGAAACGAATATAATAATATTTGGTTGTATTTGACTGACTTGACGTTCGTCGTCGTTCGTCAATCCTTATCTCATTCGTCAAGAGTCAGTTAAAATCGAAATTAATCTAAGAATGCCTGGATAACACTAAGGTTTGTGTAATCATTATTATAAGACAAAATAAAAATGTCAGTGTAATCACATAAACATAAATGCACACCAGTATAAGATAAAAAATTATTTGTTATAGTGAGATTATTACAAACATCTGTTGTGAAACAAGTGAGCAATTGTATAAGAAGAAAAATATAAAATTCTAATATGGTGCCTACTATTCTATACCCCTCGTTTCGCCAAGACTACATTGCTCCGACATTTTGTTTTGGTTTTATTTATTAATATATCATGTCATATACTTATGTACTTATCGACGCCACGGCAAATTCAATAATTTACATACGAGTATTTTAAAAAGTAGGGACTTCAATTAATTTACAAAAAAAAAGGAAATTAAGCATTATCAAAATGCAGTCCGCGTAAAATTTCAACGATAATCAGAACTGGGGGTTTAGCTGAGAGCTTATAGCAATGTTTAATTTGTGCAATGAGAGGGACAGCGCTATAACGAACACGCTGCGCAGATTAAGCACTGCTATAAGAGCTCGTGGTTAGGCCCCTGTATGCGGAATGCACAGTCGGCGAGTAGTTTAAGTGACAAGTTTTAAATTCTCAAATTACGAGCTAAAAGCGCGGCGTCTCATCCAGGTACATAAGGACAAAATTTAAGCAGATTATTTATTGAAAAATTTCAATTTTCATACAAGCTTTAGAATTGTGTGTTTTAAATCTTTCCCATTCTACCATGTCTGCGCTTGGGTCGTCGGAACTTTTACTCTAAAAATCGACACTTCAAGTAATACAAACTGATTCTCCTACTCTTAAGTTTTAATATAGTAAAGTAGCACGAGGTAGTTTAAACGTGCATCTGTGTCTTATGTATTGACAACCCCGCTAGAATACCTATCTTTTAATGGCGTAAAGTAAAACAGTGAACGACGACGCCGATAGCAAGAGTACAATAACTTGATTTCAATCGACGTCTGGTGTGTCGCAATCACGCTGGGAGACGAGCAGTCGGAGGCGTAATGTAGTCACGTGTCGCGGTGACGATGCCGGGGGGCGATCACGGTGGCGGTCGCGATGGCTATGTGCTAGCGCGCGTGGTGGTAGTGCGGTCTGGTGGTCGCGCGTCATTCCCACTGGTGCGGCGATGGCGGCAGCTCGGAGGGATGCGCCACGGTGGAGCTGTAACCGCGCTCACTCAGTACCGCCGCCGCGCGGACACACACACACATGTACACACACGCACACGCGCGCCCGGCAGCGACTGTACGCACCGGATACGGGCCGACGGACAGTGATATCGATTGACGCTTCAGTTTTGTTACCATTGATATTTTTACGAAAACCGAATGTGGGCGAAACATATACTTTTTGCTAACAAAAAAGAATTAGTAATTTTGAGTTATTAATGTCCTGATGATAAGAAGAATAGACATGTGTAGCTATCTATTTGTAACTACAACTGTCTATTTACTATTTAACCAATGTGTATTTATATTTTTTTAATAAGTATGCCTTTTTCAAAGCACATCAGATTAAAATAAAACAATACCTACACAGGAAAAAGTATTTTAGCTACACAACTTTAATATTACAACAAAACTGATAGCATTAATTGATCGCACTTCACGTAATACCACGTTACCGTTACATTTGAATCCAAAAACAAACTTCATGCATATTTTTTTATAAATATTGAAACTTTAGGAAATTTTATTTTTGCAAACAGTCTATGATAATAAAAGAGAACTCGTATAGCAAAACTGCATCACATATCAAACTACTTTAGCTACTGAACAATGTAATTAATCAAAAAATCACCACAACCAAGTGCTCGGCACTGAGCTCGCCTCTCCTCTACGCATGCACTACGGAACCATCCCAAAACAACAACATAACACTTAAAACGTTTTTCCATAGACACAAAAAACACATTCGCACCGGATGACAAGACTGAAGTCTATGGAAACTGCTATAAGAATAGACCCCTACATCATCGGTATCGGGAAAATGAAGACGAAAGTTTTCAAGAAACGTAGGAACTTATAACTTTTATTCGTAAATATACTTCATATAGAATCTATAAATAACTGTATTGTTAGTAATGTAGGGGTCAATTGTGATCATGCAAACCGCACCGAAATATAGAAACGTCGCAAACAATCTAACGATCAACCCTTTTGAAATTACGTAACGACTACCGCTCACGAAGGCAATTCGAGTTCCATAATTTCTGAGAAAGACATTCCTTTAGAGGTATTTTAACGAAAGTTTCAAGTCTCAATGTTGGACGGCATTTGAACTGTATAACAGTTGCTAAGCAGCAGTTCGATTGAATTGTTGATCTTCTTAATACGTAACGAGAGTATTTTATATTAACTGACATTTACTTTTTAAATATCAATTAAATATATCTCTCATTGGTCTTGCAAAAAAATCCTAATTAAAAATGAATAATTTGAACATATTACGGCTTTATACGCTAAAATTATCTATTTATTTTTCTAGCAATTTCGTCGGTACCATTATAATAATATCGATATTGTGTAGTTATACGATCTGTAATTAAAAATTGCAAAGTTGCATTTTGCTAACGATATTCAGTTCATATGCCTATCAACAGTTCAATATAAAAACGTTAATTGCCCGTTTATAACATTTCAATTGCCTTTGCGAGCGATGTCCGCGTACAACGGATGGAACAACACATGTAATAGTCGTGCTATAGAGTGCCGATGAGCTTACTGGGAGGAGGTTGCGCTACGCGGCGCACAGAAATATCACGGGCGATAGCAGTAGAATTTTTGCCGCCGTCTTGAAAGGGGAACAAACCTTTGCTTTCGAACGCGAGCCCGTTCTCGAGCTGTCGCCAAAAACACACAGAAAAAAAGCACAATTACACTACTGTCCGAGTGACACTTAAGAAGCATGGAAGACACCACCATTTCAAGAGGGTTGATGCGGCGGCTTCGATATTTAAAATTTATCCATTGCAGAACTGAGTCGCTCGGAAGCGCGGAAAGTGACAAATGGTGTTTTAAAATAAATAAAATTAAAAAAAATATAATAACCCATGCACAAATCGGGTTTTGGCTTCTCACTGTACACAAAGGCAAAGTTTTAAACTGCAAAAGAAAAAAAACTACGCTTTTTCGGCGGGAGGTAGGAAGGTGCGGGAGTGACATAGGTTCTTTACTTCTGCGACCACCGAGCTCTGACGTCGTGTGCCTTAATACGTAACACATAACGGTGGATGGTACGCGGAAATCACAAACTTAGTAACGTTACGTAGATATTAATCTTATTAATATATTATTTTCGTATTTCTAAAGCATTTTTATTAGGCTTTAGATGGTTTTTATTTGTATAAACTGAAATACTTTTTATTTTGGTATATTCTTTATAGTAGAAACTTCTTACATAACAAGTACAACTAAAAACAAACATTAAGTCGGTTTCTACTTAATTTTGTTAGTATGCAATGAAATGAAATGAAATGAAATGAAATGAAATGAAATGAAATGAAATGAAATGAAAATATCTTTATTCAAGTAGGCTATTACAAGCACTTTTGAATCGTCCAAAAAACTAATGAATTGAGTATTAAACTAAACACAAAATAAAAAAAGGAAAAATCTAATTAATTACAATGACACTACCGGTTACGTCATATATTTCTAATCATTATATAATTTTATTTATTTCGGCGAACCATCCACCAACTTTGACGACTAAGGAAATATAATTTACATAGTGACACTGAATGTGCACTAATTCATCGGATAGCACGGTGCCACACCCAGTTGTGATGTCCGTTTGCTTTGTCTGATTTATTATCTCTTTTAAACGTCACACGCGGAGACAACACTTCAAATTTTATTTAAAAAAAAATGGGAACGATAAAACACCACTCTAGATAGATAAAAAGATGCTCGAAGGACTAAAATGAACGGTTTCTTCGTTTCACCTTATTTTTAATCTAATATTGTGTAGGTATTTCGATGGCAAAATTTACTAATGAGAAACACTCGTGTCTATAACCAAGGAGAACTATATGAGTGAAAGTAATATCTTAGCAAATATTTTAAACAAATAAACTAGAATTATTGTGTCTATTTTTCATAAAAAATCTTGTTTATTTGTTAAAAACATTTACATAAATGATTACTTTTAGCTCTATCAGACTACAGATACGAGTTATAATTTTGGACTGAAGTGGTCCATAACTTTACAGAGGTACGAGTACAAGATTAGCGATGTTAATACTTGATATCAATCACGCTAAAAATTCCATAAAAATATCTAGTGTTAACGTAAGAATTTATACATAATAAAATGGTTTCCTGTTATTATGAACTTGAGTCTTATCCGATTACAATAAGGTCGGTATTGTAATGTTGTCTACACGTGAGATAGTACGGCGTGGCCCAATGTCTGGTGCGGGTGGTCGCTACTGGCGGAGCGTGGCGGACGCGCCTGCGATCCGTTCATAAACTCACCGCCACAACTCATAACCAAACCTGCGGCCACTTTCAACAGATATAACGATATCAAACGACCACAACTAGTATATTTATGTGTTATATTAAACCTTTGTAATATATATATTAAATAAATATTTCAATTTCGTTTAAATCAACATCGAAAACAAACTGTATCATACTTGCATGTGATTGGTCGAGTTCTCCGTGGCAATATACCATTATAAATAAAACAATTAACCATTGGAAATAATATTAAAACCTGTATTTAGTACAACCACGCGTATAAAACGTTATAATAAACATAATACTACATTATTAAATTATTTAACACCATAAGAATATGAATCCGCGGATACACTATCTGTATCTCTCTATCTATCTCTATTATCTATAATAGAAAAACAAACCGTTACATCTGTCGAAAGGCTCGCTCAAAAACAAAGGTCGGTCCAGTCGCGTCGGATGCGCAAGCGCGTCACAATATACGTATCGCAAATAAATCACCTAGTGTCTGGTATGTTGCGGTTGTGGTCGCGCTGCGCCTTACCTTGCGAAGCTCTTGAACGCGGCCGACTGAGGGTTGATGCAGAGCGGCACCCGCGAGGTCTGCAGCTGCTCCGCTATGAACTTATGTATTTCCTCTGCGGACACACAAGATACCGTGTGCGATTAGCGGTGGCCCGTGTGTAACGGGTTTTATAATAAACACAAACGACCGTTATTATTCAAACTAGTGGAAGACTGTTGAGCTCTATTGGCAAATGTGGTGATTAGGTCCGTAGTCTGTAGTTGACATTTAGTCATTTCTCTTTTAATCACGCTTGTGAAACGGAGGGTAGTCACATAGTTATAAATAATTTGTTCATGGTCACACTTCAACTATTTCAGATGTTATTTTCGTATTTGGACAAACTGGAAAAAATGTTTAGAAGTTTTAAAGACATGAATTTGAGTATGATTTTGAATGTATTACATAAGAGATTATGTATGATAAAACGCCCATCTTTCCTTGGCATTTCTGTTTTAATACTAGAACCATATCATATTTGATCAATTTTGCATTCTAATTGCTAAAACGAATTTATTTTAAAGATAAAATTTTTAATCCTATCTTAGTGTATCTTAATGGCCATATGATTTTTTTCTTTAAGGTAACTAGAACTATACCTAAAAACTTGCGTTATTTACTTCGGAACGTAGACAATAAAAAAAAATACAAAAGCTTACACCGTACAACCTGAGTAACTAGTATAGACGTATAAATAGAAGCTGCGTTGTGAGTGGACGCGTGGGTACCTTTAACTTGGTGCACGGAGGTGAGTTTCCTCTCCCAGCCGTCGTGGAAGGAGTGGGGCGCTTGCGGCTCCAGATCCGGCGAGTAATGTCTGGCGGCGGGCGGAGCGCTGTAGCAACACTTGCACATGCACGAGTGGTAACGCAGTCTACCCTCCTCCAAGTAAGGGTGAGCGAGAGCATCCACCACTGAGATACGCTTCGCTGGATCGAACACTAGCATCTGGAAACGTACACATTTAACAATAAATTTTGTGGATTTTGTGCCTGTATCTGTTTTCACTAACTTAGAACAAGGGATAGCTTGACTAGGAAACACCAAATCTTACGTATCGCCCAAGCAGAGTGGTTTAATTCCAAATAATATTTTTTTCTTCGATCTCTTGACACATTTACCTTAGGCAATTCCTAAATATTTAGGCGACTCCTAAGTTTAGTTAAGGGCAAAAATCAACTAAAATTACAGGAAAGGACAGTAACTGAAAGTAATATTTGAGCATTGAAATAAGACGATACGTATCGTTATCTGTAGAGCACTGTGTACGAGCAAACCCGTACATTTGTATATGTATCAATTATAATGTAGACACATTTAATAAAATTTAGTAGCAATAAGTTTCGGACACTATCATATCAGTAACAAACTTCTAAAGGTGTCTCAAACACACTGCATCGCTCTCGTGGAGTACTGCATTTTATTATATGGGACGCTGGGTCATTATACGTTCATCATCATCATCATCATCATCATCATCATCATCAGCCGGAAGACGTCCACTGCTGAACATAGGCATATTATACGTTCAGACTATATTAATTCGCTAATCAATTTGAATAAAGGGATTTTTTTACTTTATCTAGACCGTGAACACTATTTGAAGTCTGCGGATATATTCTTCATCTTGTAATTATATGAAATAACAGTATGTGATTCGGTGAAAGTTAGGTACTACGTTTTACAGTTTCGGGAAAACCGCAACTTTTTACGACAACGGAATGTGTACAAGCGCCCTCTGTGGAGCGTCGACACAAATGTCAAGTAATAGTTGGTATTTTAAGAACGACACTCTTTGCTGCCTTTGCGGCAAGTGTATTTGTTACAGATTACTACGTAATCGGATATTGGTACTGGTCCCCTATATGGCAAGGAAAATATGTTTTCCTACATCAGGATAAACTTCCTAGAACGTTTACTACGTGGAAAGCTTCGTTTCCGCCGTAAATTAATTAAGTCTTCATAACCGAAGGCAAGTAAACTTTTAAAGCACGTATCAACTAATTGAATTTATCTGGAAAAAAACATGTACTCTTAATACAGCTGTAATGATACGAGTAATTTATAAAAGGGATAGTATTATCGTCATGATGATACGCACCATAATAAAACAATTATTTGATAATCATTAAAAAAAGGTTTGGTCATCCTTATAATATAATCCCGCATCACGGAGGATCCTCAGGAGTGGATGAGCGAACTTTTGCGAGATTTGTGATCGTTTGTGAATGTGGAAGTTGCTAGATATCATAGTTTCCCGGTTATAGCAATGGATTTCCGCAAAATAACGCCTGATTCTATTAAATAGATAATATTGTAACCTGTGCTAGAAGGTGTACAGCCTCGTGGGTCGCTTGTACTGAGAGTGTGTAGAGGGCCGCAAGCGCGGGGGGCCGCGGCGCGCGCCTCAACATGTGCGCCCGCGCGCCCGCGCACGCGTACCGCATGTCCTCCAGCGACGGAGTGCCCAGTAACTCTGTTATTAGCTCCAGCTGGAATGTATATTATGTCGCAAATAAACAAACAAAGAAATAAACAATCATAAAATTGTAATAAACGCGTCACTTAGCTAGTTAATCCTTGGTAGCAATTCTGTTGCTCAAACTTGTCTAAAAGTTTTAATCCTGTCAAGCGTTCTAATTCTGTGAATAAGTAAAATAACTGAAGTAAATTTATTATTATATAAAATACAGAAGTATACGAAATAACAATAAGATTCGGCATCATTATTGTATTTTTTTAAATGTTGAGTTGGAAACTAAAGAAAAATATAAAATTATATAACTTCTTTTCATTTCGTGCAATTCTGAGGTATATTTTTCCATTACGTAAACTAAGTAACAAACTCAAATCACTACCTGCCCCTATTTGATTTAATGGGTTACATAGCGATCAGTGTACATTTTCATATGCGCTGCAAGCATTCGCTACAACAACAACAATAGTCGCTTTCCAGTGTTGAATTGTTAACGTCAAAAGTGTCAACAAGGTTGAAAGAATTCAATCAAAGATCTGCTAAACTCAAAGCTTTATTATAATTAACCGGCTCCTTAAGTATGCTTATTTATGAATGCGTCCATAACGTGCGTTGCCAGCATTAGCTTCAATAACAACCAATAATCGCTTTCCAGAGTTAACTTTTTTGCCTTTCTTTGTCACAGTACCTGTTGCACAGGGCTCTGCGCTTGAAATAAGATGCGTCGACCGAGCAACTCGCCGAAAATGCAGCCCACAGACCACACGTCCACAGCTGCTGTGTAATGATTGGCGCCCATTAAGATCTCTGGCGCCCTAAAATTAACCAATAAATTATTTAAAAAAATCATAAACACGTTAAATACCAAGTTAACAACATCGAACATATTAACGATATGAAAAACTTATTAAATACCTATTAATGATAAATGTTTAATAAGAAAACCTATTACACTATCATACCAAAGTACTGAATAGATTTTAATAAAATTTGGTACAACGAACTTTTTATCGCGGAAAATTAAATATAAATTATATAAACACTACGCGGACGAAGTCGTGGTCAAAAACTAGCGCCTTGTATAATTTAACTGTTGTACAGCCAAATATTGCAATTTGAAGTAAAAATAAGTCGAACTATCCAGAAAGCTCATACAAAAACAGGGATATGTAAAACGGTATATTCTAGAATTTGGAATAAAGCTTTCTTTCATTTTAAATGTAATAGGAGAAATGAAATGAAATATTTGTCCTATCTTAAAAACTCCTTTTACCTCGAAATTGAACACACAAATACAAAGAGTTTCGAACAAGTAGTGTATTATTTGTCTAGACATTTTCTTGATCTTTTTCAGAAGAATTTGAATAAAACCAAATTCTAAAGATTTATGAATGAAAGGTACAATTAATAAAGGTAAATTTCCAAGCTAAAATTATTTTAAGGTTATCGATTTAATTTAAGGGAAATATTTAGAACTTCGTCGATTTGAATAAGGCATAAGATCTTCTCGACGCGATTAACCTAATGCGATTTATTAAAATCTATCAATCTCTTTATTATGTGAAGCTTCATATTCACTTTAAGAACTATAAGCCTTATCATAAATAATAGCTTCACGAGTTTTAGACTAAAAAAGGCGGGCGTGTCCTAATTTCCAAAGCGCTACAGACAAAGGTCACCAGTGGCAAATTGCTCATTCACCGCCCACACCATTTAAATATCATAGTATCATCTCTGTTAAACGGATTTCTGTCGTATTCTTCTTGATAATAGTAAATAAAGAATGTAAATTTTATTTATAGGTCGCATGTTTTTCTACTTCTCAAAGTACATTCTTATATAAATTTTGTAAGTGAAAAAGCTAGCTGGATCACATCCGCATAAATGTAGGATTCAAATAGTCAAGTTTGTTTTTTACAAATCCACAAAAACTACGCAAGAATATACGAAGCACGTTTCCTCTGGAATTCCGATACAAATGATGCAATATATTTCGGGATACGAGTGCCGAGAGATTCGCATTATTACGAGTATTCTAACTTTTGGCCATGGGAACAAGGGCTCACAGACAAAACAACTTTCATATTCATTAATGGTATTAAAACGTAATAGTGGTGAAACCATGAATAATATAAGGGATGGATGTTGATGCGAGTTTCTGAACATTGTTTTTCTTACGTATAGAATTCTTATTAATCGAGTGCAATGTTAATTTTTACATTGGTAATTGCACGCGCAATCTGTCTCTGTAAATTAAAGTAACATTTGCAGTACATTAATTTTACATTTTTGTCGGTGATTTTCTTGCTAAGTATACAGAGCAATCAACCAATCACATTGATTCTATAGGGACGACGATTGGGTAAAAAAAGAAACTCTATTTAGTCATATGTAGTAATAATAGAAATATATGAGTTACGTATTTTTTTTGTATCAATTTAGGCAATAAACGGCTTAAATAATAGGCATTAAAGTTCAGGAGTGGTGCCTTGCTACGTCAGTAGAAAATGTACCAATGCGTGACGTCATGCCATAACGCAACTCAACATAACACCGTATTTTATTGATTACGCAAAAATAAAAAATACATATTTAATATTCTTCATTAATCTACCTGACGGACAAACAAACAAAGTCAAATTCTTTATTCGAATACTCCTTATAGATCAATATTGAAAGCGTAATGGTTATCTGTAAGAATCTAACCCTCATGTTTACAATTCTCTACCGCATTTACATCTGTATCCATCCGCCCATTGGAGTTCATGGGGTCTATCCCATAAGCAGCTGTACAGATAAGAACGGATTTTTAGAATTCATCTTCATGATCAATAGACCAAAACATGACCCATTTGTTCATTACTGGATATCAGGATTTTGTCTTTTCAATTATTTGAGGAAATAATAATATACATCTTTTCTTTATATTTTTTTTTATTCACATTACAGTATTAAACATAGTTACACTTTTAAGTTTATAAAAGGGTAACTATATACTTTTGTCTAAAACTTCTATACTTTTAAATTACATAAAAACTTTTTAATTTATAATAATAAATAATAATAAATATATAACAACATCACATACATTGCTCAGATTCCAAGATGAGTAGCTAAAGCCCCCGTATTATGGAGTATCTGAGACAACGAAGGTATCACAACACCCAGACCCGCGTCAATATAGAAAAGTTCATTTTCTACATTGACCCGACCGGGAATAGAACCCGGGACCTCAGAGATGGCGACACCTTGAAACCGGCGTGCGAACCACTCGGCTACGGAGGTCGTAACCAATACCAGAGAGGTAATGTTATTAAGGACTTTTTAACATTATTATTGATTTAACTTTTGAAAATGCCACCAGATTAATAATTTAGATGACGACCTTGATTTTTACATATTTTTATTCATTATTATACGAGATGATTTTAGTCGCAAATTGAGTAACGGGAAAGATATCTGATGTTAATTATTAGCTTTATAAATAACGATTGATTTTTTAATTACCATTAATGCATTTATGAGAATAACGTTACTTTACAATATTTTTAGTGTCAATTTAGGTAACGGTTAACAAGATCTACCTTCAGCATCACATGCGACAGAGAGGTCGGAAAAACTAATTTATCCCACCCTCATTTTTTTATCATCAGCAATATAGATTCACGGCGAGATACCATCCACAATTTGTAGAATATCTCAAAACTCCGAAAAAAACGCAATATATAATCTTTAATTCTACGCACTATAAAAAAATGCCGGCGTCTATATTGGGTTTAAACTTTATTCTCATAAGAAATTTACATTTCACTTATAATGAGATGAGCACTGCAGTACAATCTTGTATATGTTGCATAAGTTTTTTTTTAAACATTTAAGCTATTACAAATTTTAACGTCATTTGGTAATTGGTTAAACAGCTTTGCTCCCTTGAAAATTATAGTCGTTTTCCCGTAATTAGTTTTAGACGTGATTAATTTAATTTTCTATTTCGAAGATTATGTCTATTTTCCTTTATATTTAGTTGTATGTGAGATTTGAATGAGTAACGGCCGGTATCTGAGTTGAGAAAAGCACAAAATCTTAACTGAATATTCTCAATAACTTAAGTTTTTTACGTTTTATATGGTAAAAAATCCTAGTTTTATCAAATTGCTATGAACTGATCATTAAAAAATTAAAAATCAGTAGTGAAAACTTGTTTAATTGACGTTTACAATGGCTTAAGCACGGTTTGAGACGTGCTCAACTTCAAATTCTCAAATCAGAAACCGGGTGTTAGTCATTATTTTCTTTATCAATATACATGTGTAATATTTTTAAGTTGGGAGAGGTTAAGTAATTTACTTTTCTTGTATAGCTGTTCAGTTGACATTAGAAATGGATATTCCCGAGAACATATAACCCAAATCTCTTCAAGGCGAGGGTGTATATGCTCCTTTTGGGCAACCTGAGTAGCTCGGTGGCGTAGTGGATAAGCGCCGCGGCCCGCGATCGTAATCGTTAAGCAACTTTCGCAAGGGTCGGTCACGGGATGGGTGACCAAAAAATTATTATCTCGAGCTACTCCGTGCTTCGGAAGGCACGTAAAGCCGTTGCTCCCGGCTGCATTTGCAGTCGTTAATACCCTCCAATCCGCATTGGCCCAGTGTGGAGGGTCATGGCCCATCCTCCTTAACCATCCATAAGGAAGGCCTGAGCCCCTGCAGTGGGGACGTAAAAGGGCTAGTGGTGGTGGTCGGCAACCTCGTTCCACCGTAGATCTTATCTATGCCTCCAGGTTGGATCAAGACTAAGAGTGAGTAATAAAAAAAGTTCTCTGTCCTTGATTTCTGCTCACCTATAATACTGCGTCACAACTTCCTGTGTCATGTTCTTGCTGGCGTCTGGCTCCTCCACTCGTGCGAGCCCGAAGTCGCATATCTTAAGGACGCAATTACTGTTGACGAGCAAATTGCCGGGTTTGATGTCTCGATGTAAAATGCGCGCAGAGTGGAGATACTTTAGACCTGGGAAAAATATAAATAAAATAATTTATATAAGTAACATCGCTTTATATAAAGGCGGTCTCTCCCTCATCATGAAATCTGATAAACAGCTAGTTGCACAAACATTGATTACAATTTTAATTTGGTAAAAATAGATTACCCATACAAATTTGACCTTCATTAGAGCTTAAAAGCTTCATTAAACGTTAATGGACATTTGTGCAACTGACCGTAAGTGCTAGGAATTTAAAATTTTGCATGGGGGTTCTTTTTAAACTCAATCCCCTAAGGAGTTCCTTTGGGATTGATACTTTGTATCAAACTTCGTTACTTCAAGTGCTGGGAGTCTCGAAGTTTGCATAGATTTTGTTTTAAGTATTCTGAATTTACAAATAGGCTACTATTTTTCCTCCCGCTTACTTATACTTATTCCCCAGGGACCACGTGAGCGAAGCCGCTAACGGGAAGCCAGTATATTATAGACGAAAGTTAGTCAACAGACCGGTCTGCACAAGTTAAATATTTTAATTTTTCACTCCAAGATTATCTCAGTAGAACAAATGAGTTTAACATTGACATTAAACATAGTTATCTAGTGAATATGGAAAAATATGCTACTGTGAAGTATTTAATAGTGTCTTAGTATTTATTTAACATAAATAACAACACATTAAGTGACGCCATTTTATCATTCCAAAGTAAATGGTAATTACAACAGAATTTGTAATCGCAAACATTATTACAGATTCACTCATCTTGTCGAATTAAATACATTTCTGTGAATGACTTAACGTTTTAGTAGCAATAACAATATTTTTGTTAACTAATTTGTAAGAATCAATGAACATATTGTTCGATATTTGACGCAGGCGGAACTGGCTCACGTCAGATAGAAACTAATTTTAGTTGGTTTTTAATAAAAACCGAATCTGGTTGTGCCAACCGTAACAGCAATTTTCTGGACCCAATTAAGCAGCTGTTTAATGAATTTAATGAAAATCACATGTTGTCCTTGACAAATATCAGATGTAGGAAGATTCGTCTCGTGTGTAACTGACAAATATAACAGACTCTATTGTTTAAATCTCTTTTGTCTTTATGATATGAAAAATTTGCTTATATATATTTTTTTAGCTGCCTCTAAAAGCAAGACAGATACAGGTAGTGTTATTTTATCTATGCCCAGAGACAACAATCTGGGACAACGCAATGCTAGGTCTGGAAGAAATCACTAATAACTTACTAACTTAGTACATACAAGCAATAAGGGTACTTATTGTATGATATTTGTGTAATATTTTATTTGACAAATGTCCGTACTGTATGTGTTACAGTAGTTACATCCCCGTACCCCGCATGCGAGTTACGGCGCATTCGGAGTGTCACCGTGAAATGAAATCGCGCTGTGCATGAAGTTACAACAAATTAACGACATAACCCAACCCGCGAACTGTTTAATTTCCCAAAGGGTGCATAGCAACTTTCACCTCCGAGCGTGGAAACAAAATACGTGGTCGCATTACCTACAGATTTTTCAGAAACTCATTAAAACTTAAATGTAAGATATAATTGCGAATATTGTATTGCTACTTTCGCATGTGCTATAACGACTGACAATAGACATGTCAAAGTAGTGAAATGAAAGGAAATATTGCCATAACATCTCCAAGATGTATCCTATTGCTAGAGTCATAGCAAGAAAATAAAGTTTTGCACCCACAAATTACATACACAATTGTTCGATCGTGTGAACAGCGGCGCAATGATGGTGACAATCGTGGTGTCAATCAATGACTGATCTTGGCCGAGTGTGGAGAGGACCCATAAAATATATCATTACAATGTACGACGTATAATTAAAATATAAAGAAAAAAGAATACATAACGACATAAGTTATTTTACGTTTCCGTGGTCATTTACATTAGAATTTATTAGTTTATAGTCTTTTTATATATGTCGGCGGATAGTCCGAAGGGGCTATTACGAAGCCCAAATAGATCGTCCATATCGGAGGACTATCCTTAAAATAACACTGCACGCGTGTATACCAACGATTTGTTCCATTTTATCACTTTTCATACGAAAATATAACGAGATGAGCGTGATGTCGTCGGATGTCTTTACTCCTCGGCGATCGGAAACAAATTGCTTTTTGTTAACCAACTGTCAAAGTCAGTGTCACCATTCTAATAAAATTAAAAGTATCGCTGATCACGTTCTCTCTACAATCGACTAATTAAGTAATCGAGTAACTAGCAATTAAAATAAAAGAAACTAAATCAACCGATCTTCGTAAAGATGATGCGACATATATATATATATATATATATATATATATATATATATATATATATATATATATATATATATATATATATATATTTATTTCTTTGTAATAGTTTTTTTTTGCGGGATTGCTACCATGTACCTTGCTTTTGTTGAGTTATCAATATTTCGCCGGTGCTGTTAGCGTGATCATAGCGCTTCTAACTTAATTACCGTATCTTATTTATCATACATAAATAATACCTAAATGCCTACATAAAGAATATATGATAAAGAGTGGAAGTGACATAACTAAATTCCATTTAACTATGAGCAGTTCTAATGTGAAGAGGTAGAGCATTCCAAAAGTGAATAGCACTCAGGATTTGTAATTTTAGACATATCGATGAAGAGGATTTTAAGAATGTGGTTACTACTAAATGAAGGTCCCGTTAATGATAGGAACCAAGATACTGTCACCTGGGTTGCAGATACAAAATATGGAAAAGTTTACAGACAACTCGACAGATTCCTGCGTTGATGGATAGTCAACCGTATTGTTTTCTGTGGTCAGAGATATGATTGTATTTACGAAGGCCATATTTTTATATGTTGTGAGGAGGCTTTAGCTACTTGAGATCAAAGTAGGTAGGTAAATTTAATTATATATATAGAGATACCTTATTTATTTGCAATTATTAATACAAGGTGAATGAATATAATGTAATTAGTAGTATTCACGAGTGAAATATTCACAAGCAAGTCCACAATATGCATCAACGTATAACGAACCAAGTAACAAACTAAATGAGCTTAAAGCCATAAAAAGTAAACTGACTAATAGAATCGCTATTGTTACAAGTTAACTGACACTCGCGGGAACCAAATATGGCCGAACATGAATTGTTCTGTGGGTTGTTTATGGACTTTAACATTTGCAAAACCATTTCCTCTAATGCACATCCATGTAAACAGTTACAAGAAATATTAATATTACGACATATTTTAGTCATTGTATTTTCTGATATTTTATACGAATCACTGAGAAGTAATCGAAAAAAAATTTGAAACCACAGCTTTGAAGAATCAGTTAATAATCCTGAGATTAGAAAAACTATGTACCTTTTCATTAACTCAATAGAAAGCACCGTGATCGAGATACTCGCTTCGGTAAAGCTTGTTGAATAGTCGAAAATTATCTTTAAAACTAAAGAGCCTAAGACGAATTTCTGTAACAAATATTCGAATAGATCTATTTACTTTTTAACTTTTTATTATATCCATAGGTATCAGAAAATATCATTGCTCGTAATTAATACTGCCGACATTAAATTGGTAATGATATAGATTATACATATAAATGATACACGAATGTGTTTCTTGCGTGTGACCATTTCGATAAGCTTGCTTAAAAATAGTCTTTCTCTTCCGAGTAATTAATTTTTGCGTTAAGTATCAAGTTTTAAAAAACTGATTCTAGTTTTTGGATCTTACTTTGCAATCTGCTGATGAAAATGAAGGGAATTCTAGGATAATTTTTCTTGTTAGCCAGTAGATATCCTAAATACCGATATGTTTAAACTATGAATACTTTTTCTTTTAAGTCATTACTTTGTACTTTAATTTAACTGTAGCATTTGTATCTGCCACCTGCTAGTAAAAATAGGGAATTCAAGAGAGGCTGTGCCAGTGAGACGATCATTAACGGGTGGGTCGTCGTCCGGCGCACGCGCAGCCGACCGCGACGCACGGTCCTGCTCCTTGGTCGGTCGGCCGGTACGAGCCGAGAGCGGACAATGCACCGACCGGTGCAAAGCCTTTATGGAACGCTATAGCAGAATAGCAAATGTGAACGATAGCATAAAGAAATTATCAAAATAGTAAAAAAAATCAAGTTTACGTTATGAACTCTTATCTACTATTACGAGTATTATTTTTTTGTAAATGTTGCATTTACTTTGCTATCTTAATTAAATAGGGGAATAGACTGAGTGAGAGATCTGCATGTTTAGATGAATTAAAAGTTTCTATGATTGTGAAGTATGAAAGAATAAATACTGTGGCTACCCCAAATAAACTAATCAGGACATGGGCTAGTAAATTATCGATATCGTCATAATATATTTTATAAAACTATTAGAAACAAGCAAACAGACAAACTACTCAAACGAGCGATCTTTCGCTAGCCGATAGCTTATTTGATAAAGCATCCGGTGAGCGTAAGGGTGTATTTATAATGTTACAGTACGTAGTGGCTTAGAATTTTTAATGCAATAAAAAAAGTTATAACAATATAAAAATACATTATATCTAAGCGTTAATGTTATGTTGAATTTATAAAGAAAAAAAAAATCAAGTGAACTATGAATTTGTGTAAATTCTATCGTTTGTGAACATTTGTAAAATCTATGTTTACTCTCCTTTTGTTTTATTTGATTGGTGAGATAATAGTGCTAATAATTGCTCTTTTTTTACAAGCGCTTGTCATAAAGAAATAACGATGCCGTGAACGCCTATTTCACTGGGTTGCAGTATTCACATCTTACGATATAACTCTTTATCGCTACGTGTTTAATACTGAACTCCGGATATAATGACGCACTTAATTGTCCTCCCATAAAACTCAATGTAACATTCCGTATAAACTGGCGCTTCACATCGACAAATCTTTAGGTAAAATCGTGTTCACGACAGGAAGTTGACCTCGAGGCTGACAAGGTCGCTATGATCTGCGCCCTAAAGTGCAATATGGGTA